TGCCTTATCCCCGGGGTCGGCGGCAGGGGGCGGAGCCCTTACAATTAAACCCATTGCCATGGAAGTGAGCAAGTTGCAACACCTGCCACCCCAGCTTCTTGGGGACATCAATTCCCACATTCCCAACCTTGCTGTAGTCTTGGAGGATCTCTCCTGCTGTCTGTGCTGATCCAATTCATTTCTGCACGTGCCAAGTTCTGAAACTGGCTGGCTGTGGTTTGGTCGGATCATATTGCTGCCGATGACTACAACTGATGCTACTGTCTCAGCCATGTCAAAGTGCCATGACGGTTTTATCCAATACAGTATATTGATTATTGCAGGTTGCAGCCACTGTCTTTTGAACAAAACGTCTCCAACAAGTTCTAGGTACAGCCCTCAGAAATAGGCAGGTTTCTCGATGCTTCAAGCCTCTAGCAGTTCATAATGGGCTGATCTGCCAACTGATCTGAGTGGCACCCATTTCCGTTGCCCACGCGGATGGGTCCTTCTTGAACCCGAGCTGCGCGCCTGAAGCGAGGTGTCCACAGACTCTAAACTGTATTTTGCAACGCTCGGGACGCTCGGGCCTTGTTTGGTGATGGGTGGAACCGTGGAATCCAAAAGGAGCTGAACCGTGGAACCATGGAAGGACCGCTCACATTGCACCTGGTCCTTGAAGCGCTTGGTGGCACTCATGACGAACCTCAGAGATGCGGATGCTGATGAAACGGAGGCCCATTACATCGGACTAAGAATCACATGTGTCTGGTTGATCATCTGTTCATCATTGGCACATGTAAATGGACTGCGCATTGGCAAAAGCAGAACCCAAGTGTAGTTTCTTCTATTTGACCAACCTGACTTGTATGACTGAGACCATCATCTTTAATCTATATACTTGCTTGCTTCGCCTGATTTAGAATGAAACAAGTCTCACATCCCGTATATACAACGGACAACTTGAGATCTGCTATACCAACATCCCGCAAGACCGTACCCAGCGACTGCCCAAGTGGCGCTGAGTGATTTCGGATGGTGTCACCTGCATTGACCATGTCTGTCAGAATGGACAAGGCCTGCCAAATCACCAATGCACACAGGTTTTCACGTTGCATTCAAAGCGGAATTTTGGACTGCTATTAAATGTGCGCCAGTTTGATCAGGATTGTGAACTGACCATGCAAAACCCCAGCTATCAAAGACCAGAAGTCTCAACCCACGTTGCGTCACGCGACAAGGGTATACAAGGGTCCCCGGCCAGCAGTGCACCGCATCCGAACCGGAAAAAGCCGCACGAAAACGGATCGCTCGCGAGCAGCACGAACGTCGCCCCACCTCAGTGGGCTCCAAATCCCGAAGCGCCCTATTGGCGCTTGAGTCAATCTTGTCGCCCAAACGAGCCATGAGATCCTCCCAGTCGCGAGTCGACTTGTGCGTTGTCTGGGACTTGATCACGTTGCTTCTAATCCAAGCAGGAGGATTGATAAGCTATGAAGACCTATGATCAATGTTCAGGAGAATGAAGAAAATGAAGTTGTAAGGCATTGTAAGGACAAATCACCAACAGTCCCTGGTTCACATCCTTGAAGAGATGTTGAGAACCCTCATCCTATGACGGACGCAAGAGCCTCCAAACATGAATTGCAATTCTCCTCTGCTTGCTGAGTAGCAGCAACATCAGGCTCGACTGCACCTCACCGCTTCACACTTCGATCTTGTGTCGTCGATTTCTATGCCTGACCACTGACCACCACAACTTACCTGGGACAAGAAACTGTTCAACTCAAGGGCCCATTTCAACCCCCAGAATTTTGGATAATTTCGGAACCACCTCTGCAAAGAGCAAGTATATAGAGCTCCCAAACATGACTGATCCAATCCACATGAAGTTCATTCATAGTTGCCGTTCGATTAATCCATAAATGGGAAAATAAGGCCTCCTAGGCCGCCAAGGTAGTCGATTCAATGCGCACACCTTTTCTCAGTTGGGAGGTGCAGCCACGCCTCTTTGTCCAATATCCGAACCTGATGCACCAAATGAGCAATTTTTGTGTCACAGCCAGACGCAAAGGTTGTGACATTGGTAATCAGAGGCATTGTATCACAACACATCGCAACACGGTGAGTGCGGAACAAGTATAACAATACAATCTAATAGACTGAAGGAACATAGTATAATCAACTATAATGTATAATATAAGGTAACACAATGTACGATGTAATGCTATACCAGATAATGTTATAATAGTAGCTAACATCATGTGATTCAATGCAATTACCGGTTTTAAGTTTTAAGGAACCAAACATTCATTAACTATAGCCTGCTTTCACCAACCCTGGCCCTCCCGCGCAAGGATTGACGTTCTTTTGTTTGCTTTCAGTGAAGCTCTGGTGTTGCTGCAGCGCAATCTCCTGAGCGATTTGCTCACCGCAACAGTCTTAAGTCACAACAAACGAATGAACCCGCGGACTCGGGCCGCTTGAATATGTCTTGTCAAGGACTGATCAAGTCAGGTGTCCCACAAACGATTCTTCTCGGCTTCGTCCATGTCATCCAAGGGCACGAAGAAGACTTCTTCTACCTTGGCGCGACCTATCCCAAAGTTAATTGAGGCATAGCGGCCAAGGCCGAAACAATGTAGGACCATCTGGAAGCTCAAACCCCTGTTGGATCTGGCTTTGCCCCAAAAAGAGGTTTTGCTGGATGTAAATGTCACTCCGTTTAGCATCAAGCAAGCTGGTAGCGATGCTGTTCGACCAGTGGCAAACCTCCAGTTGGAGAACTGGCCTCATTGGGGTCTGCTGCTCGTTTAAGTCACTTCAAAACTCTGAGAAACTCTGGGTTGGGCTAGTTCATAAAGATTTAAGCCTAAGCTCTTTTTTGAAATCATTGCAATTACAGCCTACAGCACAAGCTTTTTCATGAAAGTGGGATGGCAATGGACAAAGAGTGACGCGCTCCAAAATGATACGTGAACCACCATGAACCCCCCTTGCGCACAATACATACACTTATGTACATTCTGTGACTTGTACATTAATTATTCTATATTAGTCTGGTGACTGCGCCTGACGGCATACTGGCTTGGATGAAGCTTTCGGACATGGTCAAACTTAGAGCAAAGCATAAAAATGCATAAAGCGGTTTGATCAATGGTCCTGGCTTTTTTTATTTCGTAGTAGATAACTGAACACCTAAGGTCTGCGGGTCAAACCTACAAGGAACACTCCGAGACTTGTGTCGCTTTCCGACCTTGCGAGTTGCAATCCTCAGCCACCTTGGCAAAGCGGATGGGTGCCATAGTGCCGTCTTCAAACACATGCTTCTTGTTACTACTAGTAAGGCACCTGTTACTACTAGCGATGCACTTGTTACTACTAGCTTCCTACCATAGTGCCACCAGAATGTCTGCATTTTTACACAAGTTAAAATGGCCATGCTGAAAATCCTGCAAGGTGTTCTTTTTTTAATAAGGGGGACAACAACATGATGTTCATTTATCCACTATGTCGTCGCCAAAAATGGACGGGCGGAAAAGTCGTGAAAAAGCCAGGCTTTGCCTTATCTGCACCCAAGGCACCCTCACTATGAATGACTACAGGTAAACCCACCTCATGTCATAGACTCATAGACTGTCAATCACTGGGGATACTATGTCAACATCCGAAACCAGCTTGGCTGAGTCGGCTAAGTGAAGCTTTTGACAACTGAAGCAAAATGCCAACAAAAACAACTACGATCCTAGATAAGCGGACCCTCCTGGCCATCTTCCTGGTTTTCCAGTGAAGGGGTATTTCTCAACCATGCTTGCGACTATCTAAATTGCAATGATCAAATCAAGAAATGCTAGGCTACTGCTACTTCAAAAATGTCTACACAAAATAGACCTCTGAAGGAAATCCTCCATCCTCCGACGCGACATGTGTGACGCCATGGAACTCTTCTTTGGATGTCGCCACCTGGAGAATTTCTTTGCCCTCTGGTAGATCTGGATGTGATCTTCGCAGTGTGCAAGCAAAGAGGGAGAGCATTCCTGCCAAGTTCTTCGAGCTCGAATTCGGCCCAACAAACGCTCCGTTCTTCGAAAGAGACGGGAGACTGACGCTTGACGGAAACACTCTCTTAGACTGTATCCGCTTACTTGGGCGCGATTTTGCCCGTGTAGGTCATTGGTGAACCTTCTCAAAACAAGACCACCCTTCGACAGCACCTCTGCCCGTTGTCTTCCGATGAAGAAACACCGGCCCTTTGACCTGAAGAGATCTAGGCGATCTTGGCAAGTGCAACAAGGAGCTGGCCATGTCCGTGAAAAAGGGCCAAAGTCTGGTAGCCCGCAAGCTGGAAAGAAATGCAAAGCATTCTGTGGGCAAACGAGGGAATGACATGGAGGACAACTGCTGATCAACTTTGAGTGCAAAACGGTATTGAGGCCTCCATGTAGCTTGACTACTGACTCTCGTCAACTGAGACAGTGACATAGGCAGACTCCTGCAGAGTTCACAGTGCTCCGCTCAAAAGCCGTGTCATTCTTCGTTTGAATCAAGAACAAGAGCTACGAGGGTACACCGTGGTGAACCTTTGCTTGCTCATGAATTGTAAAGATTGCATTGAACACCATCCTTGCTGTTCCAGTAGAAGTCATGGAAGTCCGAGAATTCCTCGAAGCCATCCGCACTGGTGCCAAAATCCTTGGAGTCTTGGAGTGTGATGAGTTGATGAAAAGAAAACGATGAGAGACTGCGTTGATGGAATAAAGAATAAAGACCCATCTTACCCATCTCAATCCTTCTCAGATCATCGATCTTTCACTTCTTCCGACTTCTTCCGATTGAACAGCCATTCCGATCCTGCCGGTCATGGTCGACTTCGGCGCTGAACTTCCTGTCTCTTCTTTTTCTGTTTCTTTGCGTGTTTCAAGTAGGACTCAAGAAGGGGGTCCACGTAACAACAATGCACAAAAAGACTGGGTGGGCAGAGGGGTCACTGGGGATCTCCTCTTTTTTGCTGGGTGTATGGTTGTGTCCAGCACATTCAATATGAAAGCGTGAGGGCGAATTCCCAGGGGCCTAAAGCATAGGATCAATTTGGATCAACACCAAATTTGGATGACATGCAGAAGTCTTCGTATCTATATAGAGGTCAGGCCACACTACGAGTACCAGATGCAAATACACAGATCCTCTGATCATCGGCGCGTGATGTTATTTTGGGTTGCCAGGCGTTGGTCGGAGCTTGCAGTAGAAAGTGGTTGTTGCAGCTGTGCGGTACGAGTGCTTCACATTGGAGAGGTACTTCTGGTGGGCCACAAAACGTTGGCCGCAGAACTTCTTCGCTGATTGTATCAAAGCTGCAAAGGCCATTCCCGCCAGTGTGCCAGGCACGTTGACAGGGTTATCAAAACGCCACTCTCCTGTGGTCGGTCATTCAGTGATGGTGGACGGGGCTGGCAACGCAAAAGCCTCTCACATAATAACAAACCACAGCTTTTAGGCTACGGGTCAAACCCGGGACCCTCACAAAATGAACGACCAGCGGTGTCTACCATGGTTTCGGGATTCGTAGCTTGCTGACTGTTCAGAGTCGGCCTGTAAGATCTGTATAAGTGGTTTCGGGGTGTTTCGGGGTCTTTTGATTTGACCCATCCCACTTCTGTTTCAGCGATTTTCAGATCTCATTTTCCGCAAGTCAAACAGTCCTCCGCCTCGGCCGTTCAGTTTGAACTCGAAGCCATCCTCCGGACATGGGTCCAATGGTCGATCACACCGTGGATGAATTTGAATCTGTTCAAATCTGGTGGGATGATCGGAGTGGCTCCTTTGCTCGCCCAAAAGAGCGCAATGCTGCTCGAAAAGATGTTTGCAAAACCCATGCAAAACCAGCTGCGACATGTCCTTTCGGCAACTACACAATGCCAATTCAACTTGACTGAGCATGCCGACACCTCAAGAGTGTTCAAGTCTGTCCGACACGGGTTCAGGCCTCCGTCCATTCAGCATCTTCCACCTTAAAGGGAAGTCGGGGGCCTTCACCCAGCCCGACATCTGCCACGAAGGACCCTTCAGGCAGGTGGGCCACCAAGACCACATGATCGCCCCATTTCGCCTGCAAGGTCCGATCTTACCAGGTACAGTATTGCAGTAGGAGGTGTATGGTGGGAGCATCCATAGCCAAAACATGCCAAAACCAAATAGAAAAAGGCAGTTGAATCGCAAAGGTGTTCTAACAAGTTCAACTAGTTTCGACACGGGTCAAACTTTCGCGTATATAGCAACTAGTCACTAACAGCTTCATTGGTGGTCTTGAAGGAGCTGTTTGGAGATTCACACTTGCGAGGGCCACGCTTTGGCCACCCTTTGCTCAGGCAACTGAAGGTAGTGTTTGCATATGTCCATGAGTTTTTCAACATATGTCCATGAGTTGTTTTCCATTGTTCCATGTTTATTTTCTGTTTAAGGATGTTTTCTGTTACCTTAAAAATGTAGTTCATTTCCGCTTGGAACTCCGGGAGGCCCACCTCTGGCTCTGGCGCATCACTGCAGTTGGCCGTGTGGAGGGACACTTGGAAGCCCAGCGAGCAAAGGAGGGCGGCAAAGGCATCTACCAGGAGGAAGCAATATCCTTGATTGAAATACCAGAGATCGGCATCTCTTCACACCCCTTCACTCTTCGGCCTTCAACCTTGCAAATTCCGTCCAGTGCATTCCGCGTCTCCCCCACGCCCTCTCAGGGCGACCCGTTTCACGCTCTCCTCAAAGGACAAGGGAGGTCGAGCGCGTTGCAGCTGGACGTCCAGGTTTTCGTAGGCAATGCCTAAGACATGCGCTCGTTTCGCACTAGCAGGTGCAATCGCTCTCTGGCATTCTGCGACAATTGGCGAGATTGAAGAACAGAAAAGCGAGCTTGGAACAAAACTTGGTCTTTTCTCAGCTCAAGTGAGACTTGCAAGCTGCGATCCACATGCGCGGATAGCAGGTCTTGCAGTGATTCCAAGCTGGGTGAGCAACGGCAGAGCTGCAATCTTTCTAAATAGGCATCCACCAGGTGGTCCTGACAGCTGATCTAGGCTCTGGCTTGCTGGGGCAAGTTAGTCGAGAGAATTCGAAGGGCTTGTGTTTTTTTGTGTGCATCTTGTCATGTTCACAATTGGAAAGGACATATTTGTGCATGTATTTCTCCAACACATGGGCAATCATGAAGTTCTGGAAGCCAAATTGGCTTGCCAAGTGTTCTTTTGAGGTGAGCGTGACAGGTTGACGAGAAGTTTCGTTGAGTGAGTCCAACCTGCCACTGTCTCATCATACTGTGCGCCGACACGCTTTGCTGCACGGCTGCATTGATGATCGCCCAAACAACAGTGAGAATCACACTGTATAACTGTTGACTCATTGACTTTGAGTAAGTGATACCTAATGTTTGCCCACCTGCGTTGAGGCACCTGTATTGTGTCCATTGTAGGAGTGCATGTAGGTGGGCAATGGATGGCAATGATAGTTTTGTACTGTACGCTGGGCTGACTTATGTCCAAACAAGTCAGACTGATCTTGAGTGCGGCGGTCTAGTCTTGAGATAGGTCAACTTATTTATAACTACCGTAGCCGTAGCCACCTGTAAGCAGCGGTCCGGTTCCGTCGTTGACGTGCGCCGACCGGACAATGGAGTCTCCTCAAGTTGACGCTGCAAGAAGATGTGACCCTCTTGCTTGCAATGTCTCACTGTACAAAGTTCCATCCCAGGGTCCGCCATGGGCTGAGCCGTGGCTCAAAAGCACGCCAAGCTGGCGCTTGATTCTGGAGCGCCTTTTTTGAGTGAAGACAGAAGCCAAAACATGTGGGTGATCTTCTTTTCTAAAGCACAACATCATTCCGTGACCCCAACCAGTCCTGAGTCCTGAACGTTAAGGCCATTAAGGTGAATACTAATGGCGGCCCAGAGAGGGACTGTTTGCACTTTTTCACGGCTTGAGAATCAAGGAGCTTCATCAAAATGATTGCCGTCAACACGTGTTGTTGGGGTCAGGCTTGGCTTCGAGCCAAAGGCCGGCGAGAACGAGGTCTCCAGACGATCAACAAACATGTAAAAAATGCAGAAGGAGTCACCAGCCTGCCTTCATCTCTACAAGTCACCCAAACTTCACCAGGCCTTGGTCATTCAATTTCTTGAGCAAGGACACCATACAGGCGGAAGGATTCCGCCTTTTGTGCGACGACCTGATCATGGACGCTGTGTGTGTGTGAACCCCAAAGCAACAAAAATGCAAACCAAAACGACGTGGATTGAAACCCCATGCCAAAATCCAAATGGATAGCAATTGGTCACGGCAGCATGTTCTCCAAAGTCTACACGTCTGCCCAAAAGACAAATCCTCCAAAGAGTCTTCCAAGTGCTTCAGAACATTGGCTCTTCGGCTCTCGCCATGTGCCTCTCCCATTGTGCCAGAGCTTCCATAGCAATATCTGGGTCCGCCTTCCGAAGCGCCGCCTGGGCTATTCAAAGACTTCGATCGTTTTCATAAAGGACTATCAACGAAAAAAAAAAAACTCCATCTCAACAAAGTTCTCTAACTACCTCTCTAACCTGGCCATGCCATGCGTCTCTGAAGAATGTCTTCAAGAAGTTCCGTCAAGGCCTATCAAGAACCACTGGGCATGGCCGAGGCATGGCCAACTCCCCCCAGTCCCCACTCACCTGAGCATGGTCGTCCAGTTCGTCGTCACCCAGGAGGCCTCGATCCTCAGATGACGAGCTTAAGGGATTGCTGGAAGCCCGGCTCCAAAGCATACAAAACCACACCAGCCGCCAAACAGCTTCACAGGTCTCATATTCCTCAAAAGAAAACAAACTCAAGGTCGTTTCCTCGCCTGCCAAGGTTCGCAGGTGGGAAAGAGCCCCATATGTCCCGTGTTAAAACCTTCCCGAGGCTCTGGCCTGCAGGTCTCGCAAGCGTTCCTGGACAGAACACCGCCGCGAAAGTGCTTCTTCACAATTGTGTATACAGGAACATGCGACAGGGGGAGCCTCCAAAGTGATCGTGATCAAACATCTGGGATCGAACATGTAAATATGGGATGATATGGTGTCTGTCAGCCTAACACGCAAAGTGCGTAGAAGAATGGCTAGCTTTGTGTCAAATGACCATTTAACCTATATGTCTAAGTCTTCCAGAACGACGGTTGAATGACAAATTCCTGCACCACTGGAAGAACAACTCCATGTCTACCCGTCTACCCTCGCCTCCCTAACATGGAGTTGAGTTGTGGAAGTGCGTCAAGCAACAAACAAGTTGAGTGACCAAACCCCTGCCTGCATCACATCCCAAGCATAAACCAAGGTTATACCAGCATAGACCCCAAACAGCTTCAAAACGATTCGCTTAGACCAACATTAGTCAAAAAACGACTTCTTGGACGCCTTAAGTACCTTCACCCCAAGAGCAAACTGCTTCATCAGTGAATTTTTGTCGCATTGACATCGCTATTTGTTCGGCCACACTCCTCTCCAGTAAACCGGCGGCCACAGAGTTCAGGGGCGCGGCCAAGACAAGGACAAGAGGAGGACAAGACCCGGACACAGAGCCCAGAGTTCAGGGGTGCTGCCAAGACAAGGACAAGAGGAGGACAAGGCCCAGCCACAGAGCCCAGCCACAAAGGACAAGAGGAGGACAAGGCCTGGACACAGAGCCCAGCCACAGAGTTCAGGGGCGCGGCCAGTGAGTGTGGCCAGCTCTTTTTTTCTAAGATAGAACCCCAACAGTAAACTGTTTGGTGAATATAAACATATTAAAACATCATGAAACAACATTGAGCTGGGGGATGCGTTTGTGTTTGTTGCTTTACAGTAGAACTGTAGTTTCTGAGAATGTTTCCTCTCTACAAGTGTCTAAGTCTGCTGTGGCTCTTCCATCATGTCTTCCATCTTAAAGCCATTCCGAAAGGTATGCTAAGGCGATGCACGTACGTGGTGGAGACTGCATTGAGCACAGCCGCACCGAGCGCCGTGGCCTCCACTGTCTCAGCCGTGGCCTCCATGGCCTGGAGTCGCTTCGACGACCGTCGGACGACCCGCACGACTTGGCTCCCTGTCCGCAAAGCGTGGGATCCCATTACGTCCGGCTTTACTGAAAACGTGCTTCAGCTCAAGATTCAGAATCCAGAATGCAAGATATCATATAGTGCACATCTATGTCTCCACACACCTGATTCAGCTACATCCCGCTGAGGGTCGCGCAGCGGACCTCCTCTGCCACGGGGGAAACCCACCACAAGCCAAGCACTGCACAGCGTAACACTTCCCGAGTACATGTGTAATGAGTGAAATCGTCGGAGTCTTCGGGCCGTGAAATCGGCCAGTTGGCGGCTAAGTCTTTCTTGAGGGATGGCGACAATCCCCAGTTCATCCCAGTTCTCAATGCACTCGGAGCCGAGTTCAGCTCGATTTCTCCAGACCCGTTTGGAATCACCCCACGGTGGCTATTAGTTCTGGTAAGGTCGTGGGTACGCCACACGACCACGCCTGAATCCTGCCCGGACCCTTCCATTCAAAAGGTGGGGAACACTAATTAGTTTGCTGAAGCTGCCCTTTATTCAAACGCTCTTGCGACCTCGCACTCTCTCCTTTTTCGGTTCTCTTTCGAGAATGCCCACCTCCACCAGACTGCTTGCTTTTTGACTTGACGAAAACACATGAATGGCTGCGTGGTCATCAAAGTCTATCGGTGTTCTGTTGGTAGTAAAGGTCATCGGGCGCTCAGATGTGGCATGGGATCCACTCATTAAAAAGCATGCTGTCATGGACAATCTGTTAATGGAGGAAGGAGCATGGTGCAGAATGTGCAGAGGTCTTTTGGTCTACATGCCAAGTACTAGTACTTGCAGAGATTCTTCAAACATGCACTGTGCAAAACTCATGGCAGGCAATGGGGATAGTGCTTGCAACACACACGCACCGGCAAGCTCTTTCTTGTCTCTCTGAATGCACCATCCCGATGCCTATCATGAAACCTAGCTACAGCTGATCTACACCGAAGCAATCGCGGTTGATCAGATGGTCATCATTCTTCATGCAATGCACGTCTCAAAACTAGACAAGAAAAGCCTGCCCGACTCGCGTGCTCAATGAGCCAGAACCACTGGTTCTTCTTTCAAGGCAAGCAAGTGAGCTGTTTGTGCTGATTCAACTCTTGAAAAGGTCTGTAAATACAACACATTAGTGTAGGAGTAGTCTGTGCACATCTCGTGCGTGTGATGAAGGATATTTTTCGGTGCTAGCACGTGGCTGCACTTAAGTGGGAGACCAGCTGCCACCACATCACCATTCCCTGCTCTACTACATGTGCAATTTATGGTTTTGGCAAATGCTCAAAAGCAACCATCGGAAAGCAGGCGGCTGGTGTGCTCGGTGAGAAATAAGAAAAGCATATCCCATGCAAAGTGTTCATGCTGCTGGGCATACAAACTTGTAATTAACTGTCTAGAGAGGCATTGCTCATCTAGTGGGTGTGAGCCTTTAGACGGTATTGTTTGAAGCTGAGAGAATGCCTGTGCGACTCTGTGAGAAGTAGAGTGACCATTGCCACAGTTGTTGAAACCAAAAGCCTTTCCTGCCATTACCCCTAAGGCACCTTCAAAGCACCTTGGCAAAGGACTTCTTCAACTCGTCTCCGTTTGGACTGAGTCAGGCGCGGTCGCTGGATGTGTTTCAGAAACGAAAACTCTTGCGTGCCATTAGCCATTGTGCACCCTACAGTAGTCCAAATGCAGTAGTCATAGTTAGTCATAGTTAATTCATAATCAAGTCTATATTGTTCTTGCGGATTATTGTTTTTCTTGCGGCATATTGCATCATAGGCCAGAGGAACTGAATCAGCACGCAGCACAGAGTTGGTGATACAGTGATAAGTATTCTAGTCGGTCCAATTTGCCTTCATGATCCTTCATGGACTTTTGCCAACTTCTGAGCGGTCTTGATTACAGTTTGATGTACGCTTCTGGCAACTTTTTCCAACGACTATCGCGTTCTCTCCATGATGAACAAGAGCACTTCGGCATCACAAGGTCCAAAGGTCTTCTGCAGGCACACATCAAACCAGGGTTGCAATGCCTCCAGCACGGCCAAAAATATACTTATCTATATGTGTATGTATATATATATATATGTATGTATATGTTATATATGTACATCATAAATGCATTGCCGCGTCATGTTCCATAGGTAAGAAACTGCAAGACTTGAACTTCATGACTGGTGAGCGTGCGCTTCGGGTCAGTTCAGCTTACCTAGGACATCGGAACATGAATTCATCCCAACAAAGGCCATGATCTCTTATAGCACAGCTGCTGTCCCACGAAGCAACAGCATGAATTTGGAAACGGAGCAGGAACGAACCCACTGGTGGCGTCCAGCCTTCATGGGGTTTTCATGGTTCCGCTCTTCGCTTCTGACTTTATGTGCCAGAACCAGCATGGCATTGGGTCTGGTGAGCTGAAGCACTGTGTCCTTGAGCTTGGGTAAGGCCGAGGTCGTGTAGCACCTCAAAAGGTGTGCTGATATGCCGTGGTCGTGTCCCAGCCGCACCGCTTTTGGGAAAAGGTGAAACCTTGGAAAAACACGATTGGTGATGTCCATATAGTGTAGAGATGTAGGGATGAGCATCCCGATGACAGCCAGACTGATTCAGGCTCATAAACTCAAGCTTCTTCTTTAATCTTCAGGATGCTGCTCATGGAACCGACACAAAGATCCAAGTTAGTACACAGTCATTACTATGTTGGACTCACACCTGTTTGCCGAAATGAAGGCTTGGACTAAGCCGATCTTCCCCCTTCACTTGAAAGGCACAAGTCCGACATGAGGACCACATCAAAGGAGCTACCATCCAGGCGTTGAAGCGCATTGAGGCGGTGTTCCTCCAGGCCCCAGTCCTCGTTCCATCTTACGAACAGAGATCTGCTCCGTTTTTTTTTCTTATGAATTATAACTATAACTATTCTATATTACAGTACATTCATGTGACAAATTGATTGACTACGCTCTGTCTATTCAGAGGTGGATTTGAAAAACATGTTTACAATGCCTCAGAACAGGTTGGCATTCGCCCCAGCGTCAAGCTCCATGATGGAGGTCTGCAAATCTTGACAGTGGGCAGCTACGTTCAGCGCAGTAAGTGGCAGCACCGCCTTTTTGTCACTGAAGAAAATATGGCCTCCAAGCACGTGAGCTGCCACAATTCCGGGCAGGCCACAACCACTGCCCAACTCCAGGATGGTCTTCCCAACGAGTCTGGATCTGTCGTTATCTTTAGCTGCTAGCCAGTGAGCTAAGGCAATACCTGATGCAAGGAATTCGGGCAATACAGTTTACTACGATGAAATACACATATATAACTAGTTATGAGATGTCGTGAAAATGAGCAAGCTATATACAGCAAAGGGGTGTTCAAATATCACGGTTGAGTACCAGCATCCCACAAGCGCCCTCCAGTTGGCATATCTTCGCTAGAAATCTCTTCTCGAATACGCAGGATTTGCCCTCCTAGTTCAAAGCACCTGAAAGAGTGCTCGTCTTCCCGATTACCTGTCAGCGGCATGGAGAGACAAGAAAGGGCTGCATTCCAGTCAGCCATCTTGCAGGTCAGGGTCGCCATGTCAGACCCCAGCCTTTCCACAGGCGACAAATGCCTGAGGAGGGCATGTTCCGCCAAGCAGATTGTGACAAAATACAATCAAACCAAAATGTGTTTCGTCCCACACCAGCTCAAACGAAGCTCCGCCTCAGAAAGCTCTTGGACTCGAAGTCTGCACTGCATCTCACTTCGAGATCTCGAGCAAATCGATTTCTTGGGCTGCGGGATCTGCTCCGATCTTCGCCAACCCGCGACCCGGATGACTCGGATGGCCAGCTGGAGGTCGTGACCAGCAGCCGGAGGTCAGTCGCACCCTCCACCTCCCTGGGCAAAGCACCTTCCACTTCGGCTTCAACGCCTTGGATTACCATGCCATGTCTGTTTGGTAACAGCACAGAAAGAACAACAAGATATATGCCTGTGAATCCAAAATAAATGCAACACCGCAACAATGTTGATGTTATGGCAATTTGGAGGCTGTAGTCTTTTTTGCCTGCTGTGATTTCTCCTTCCGTGCAAGGTGGCCTAATGAGCAGCTGCTCATCAACCCTGCCAAGCGACCACCACAATTCTCGTGCATGGTGACTTTCAAGTCTTTCAGGACAAGCCCTTCCAGGCACCTTCCATTCTCCACAAGAGAAATCTCCAGATCAAAATCGATGGGCAAAGGCAGGAACATCCTGAAACCAAAGAGGTAAAAACATGGAAAGACACATTCATGCAGCGTCTCAAGAAAGACTTCGACACCAAAGGTACAAACATTCTATGAGCATCATGCTGTGAGCATGGTCACCACCCTGACTAATTATTTGTGTATCTCGATAAAGGTCTGCCCCCAGCTCAGACTCAGAATAGGTCCGAGCATCTCATTGGTCAAAGCCACCGAGAAACGCACCTTTCCCTGCTTGGAAAAGGGAATGGACCAGAAGTATGTGCGCAAGACCATGGCTGCCTCTCAGCCAGGGAAATGTGCCGACTGCTTGAGACTGCAAGGTTGAATCTTTTCGAAAGACCCTATGTGGTACAGTATGTTCCATGCACACCTGTCATGAACCACGAAGCCCTGCATCATGTCGGTTTCTGTATTATAGAAATTGTTGGAGACTCTAGGAGAAGCTGCTGCTTCACAAGGTCGGAGAAACCATAGATGTGGACTTGTTCAGAAACAGCTGCTTCTATCTGTGTGTGTCAAATTACAGCCAGCAAGTGCTTGTGAAAGAACCACCCTGTGTGACTATGTGTGGAATACGGTTTATACGGTTTCCCCTCCCACAAGCAGCCGCTGTCCTGTCCAGGTCCAGGACGTCCCCTGGGCCCCCGAGCGCCATGGTGGCGAGGTTCCGCAGCAACTGCACAAAACACCGGCTGCAAAGGGTGAACCAGCCTTTTGAATTGGAAAGGCTCTAAGGCTTCTCTAAGGCCCCCTTGGGGCCTTCATGTGAAAACGCTGAATGTTTGGTCAGCTTGAGATCCGATTGGTTGCAGCCATTTCCGAAGTTTCTTCCCGCACAATATTTGCACTACCAAGTTCCCATGTTGACAACACTTGGCAACCTCCACCTCCATGCTCAACGATAGATACACAATTTGACAACCTCCGCCTTCGTTTTCGGCACGGTTACACATTTTGGCGGCCTCAACTTTCGTGTCGATGGCGGTGACACACCTCCACCTCCATTTTCAACAACACATACACAATTTGGCAACTTCCGCCTTCGTTTTCGGAAATAGCTACACTTTGAACTCCACCTTCAGTTCCGGCGACAGTTGCACTTTGGCAACCTCCACCTTCGTTTTTTTCGACGACAATTACAAAATTGGTAACCTCCACCATCGTTTTCGGCGACAGTTAAACATTCTAGCAATCTCCACCTGCGTTTTCGACCACAATTACACACTTTTGGCAACTTCCAGCTTCCAGCGAAATTTCCAACAACTGTGATACAACACTTTAATGCAGACGCTTTGGCGCCTGCCACAGTCAATTTCGACAGTCGCGCACTTCAGCAACGAAATTTGTCCTTTCTATACGTCTCCACGCTTCACACGCACTATCTCCGCAAAGGCGCAAAGGGCTCACCGCCCCCATACAAAATTCGCGTTTACCTTCCATGTTTGAGCGCAGGGTTCCCGCCACCTGCCCAGAACTCGCATTTCGCCTCACGTTTGAGCGCTCGACGCGCACGATCTCCGCAAGGGTTCATCAGCGTCGCCGGAATACGTATTGGGCCTCGCATCTGGGCACCCGCCGCACATGAACACGAACTCCGCAGAGGCGCATTTTCGTCTCACGTTTCAGCGCTCGACGCGCAGTTCGCCCAGCGCAGCGGGAATTCGTTTCGCCTCACGCTTCCATACTCGACGCGCACGATCTCCGCCAAGGGTCACGTTTCGCAAGCCCTGTTTGGCCAGACCCCCGCCTAAGAAAGAAGAAGCTGTTTCGACGTTAACACACGTTTACTTTTGCATGTGTTTACTGAAGCAAGACCTCCGCGAAAGCCAAGGTTTTTCCTCAAACAGTTTACTGTTAGGGTTCTCAATTCTTTCTTAAGATGTGTCCGCCCTTTGTGTCACTGCTGGCGTCCGCCCTTTTTCCACTGGCCATGTAGCATGTCTGTTCATGTGTCTCCCAGGTCTGTCACTGCTGGTGTCCGCCCTTTTCTGCTGGCCATGTAGCATTTCTATTCATTTGTCTCCCAGGTCTGTCTGTAGCATTTCATTCTTTGTCTCCCAGCAGCTTCCTTGCGCGTCTCCCTTCTTATTGGTCCTTGTGTCCGTCTTGTCTTCCCTTTGTCTCTGGTCCCTTCTTGTTGGTCATTGTGTCCGTCTTGTCTCCCTTCTGTTTCCTTTCTTCTCCCTTCTTGTCCCCCCTTCTTGTTGGTCATAGTGTCCGCCTTGTCTTCCTTCTTTCCTTTACATTTGCCTCCTCTCTCCCCCTCTCGCTTGCAACCCTTCACATTTGTCTTCCGCCTGCTCTGCCTTACATTTGTCTCCCAGCTCTGGGGTGCGTGTCGCTTGCAATCCTTTACATTGTCATTTGTCTCCCTGTGTCTACATTTGTCTCCCAGCTCTGGACTGCTGTGTCCGCCTCTGCCTTGCAATCCTTTACATTTGTCTCCCAGCTCTGGGCTGCTGTGTCCGCCTCTGCCTCTGCCTTGCAATCCTTAATTTTAGATTTGTCTCCCAGCTCTGACTGCTGTCGGCCTCTGGCTTGCAATCCTTTACATGTGTCCTCGCAAGCCTCATTTGTCTCCCAGCTCTAGACTGCTGTATCCGCCATTTGTCTCCCAGCTCTGGACTGCTGCAGCCGCCTCTGCCTTGCAATCCTTTGTCTCCCAGCTCTGGACGTCGCAAGCTCTAGTCGCGGAGTGTTCCGATATTGAAAAACACAAACTGTTTGGGGTCTATGGCGGTGTCATGTTGCAAGTGACTCTACTTAAGCAAGAGCCCAGCGAAAGTGAGACTTGACGTTGCGTATGAAGTTGCTTGGGCATGATCCCAGCATAAGTCAACCAAACAAGATCCCAGCACCAAAGCAATTTACCAAATCAAGACACCAGCACCGAAGCAATGCTAGCGTGGCAGCAGGTAGCATACATACAGCTGCAGCTGTATATGTTGCAATGGTATTGTTACGTCCGTCCGTAGCCGTAGGTTTAGAAAACCACCTGTGCAAGCTGCAGGTGTACTTATGGCATACATACACACGCAGCTATATAAGTCCCAAATGTCTGGTAGAAAACCACGCGTGCAAGCTGCAAATGCAGCTCATAGCGTACGGTGGCATACATACAAACGCAGCTTCAAAAGATTGGGAAGAAGCAGCCAGAAAGATAGTTCCCAAATGTATTGATGCAGATGCGCTGCGCAAAAGCTTTCTACACAAAAACCCTTCGCAAAGAACTCCTGTAAGGTACTACGTTTGCGTTGTTCTGCTTGAGTCTACTTTAGGGAGTTGCATAATACCTGGAATCGTTCACTTTCATTGACAACCACCTCTTTGTTTTCAGGCTCTGCTCCCGCACACCTCCCGACATGTTGGCAGAGTTGCCTCCACCTTTGCAGGTTTGCAGGCTTCTGCTGCAAGATCCAGCGTGCGGAGGGGCTTCCTCCCAGGCACGCTGGTCTTGCGCCTGCCCTGTTCGGGTCACGCTTTCTGAACTGGCATTTTGCGCGCGTGAAACTCTGAGCGTGACTGATTTGGATTGGTGAAGCTTCTGTCGCGTTAAAAACTCACGACTCCGTCCCATGGAGCAGAACCATCGGTGGAGCGGTTGCAGCGGCGCCCCAGCGCTGGAGCGCGCCGGGCTTTGCGCACCTCTCCCCGAAGTTAGCAGAGTAGACAGCGCACCACGCGGCGACGTCCACGCCGTACACCTCCGCCGCCGAGGGGCCACCTTTACGCAACTGTCCGGGAAGCACAGCTGCTTCCCAGACAGCGCTGGGTTGATGGCCAGCATCCCCTTCACCACGCCTGTTCTCCTGAGGCCTTCGTTGTCCTCAGCGCGCGCGTCACAGAGGGAGAATGTTCCAGCTTCCACCTCCACAGCGGAGCTGCCCTGTAGCCTGCGCCCATTGCCCATTTTTGCTACGAAGACCTTCAAGCTTTGTCGTCGGGAATGCTACAAGCTTACTTCAACGTGGGAATATTGAGGGGGAAATCAATGCAGTCTTTTGAACGCCACACCAATCATGCCTCTGAATTTTTTGCATTGCCTCGACCAGACCTGAGTCAACCAAAGCGCGTTGGAGGCGCAACACCCTCGACCACGCCACGAAACTGCTGCGCATCGTAACGCCGGCGCTTCTCATCCTTGGGACAACCAGAGACTCTGGCCAACTCCTTTATCCAACAGGAGATCATTTTGAGAATTACCTCTCACCCACAAACATGTCTCTCAAAGTGAACATGGCACATCTCTATATACAACACACACCCACATTTCACGCACCAAATTCCAAATCAATCGCCACATTTGTTGCATGGGGTTTGTGGTACTTGATAATCACGCATAAGTTGAAGGGGTTCCAGGTCTATGAGTTGGTTGCGGTGTCGATATATGTTGCGCTCCCGTCATTCGGACCGCAAGTGCGCGAAACGAACGAATTCATTCCCAACAGGTTTTAGGCGCATACTACTGTGGAAACACCAATACAAGCCTAACAAACCCAGCAGGAAACATGAGAGTATCTCACGAGTGTATACTAGGACCCCTCTTTTCGCAGAACTGAAGAGGGTTTGGATATACGTCTGAGCGCCTGTCATCCTCCTAGAGACATGGGCAGGGACCCTAATATTAATGTTTTGAGTTTTGAGTATTAGTATTAGTGTGTGAAGTCATCATAGATGGATGACCTTACAACACCCCCGCGGGCCGGCAGAGGGTGTCAAGGGTGGGTGGGTTGGTGGGAAACTTCCTAAACCTCTTGATCTTGAGCCAAAATGGCACCAAGATTAGAGTTGACGCCTGCATGTTTCAAAATTTTCAAAACCCAAATGACCCTACCCAACTCATTTTTGGAAATCAAAAGCAAGACAAACCGATTGACCTCAACCCTGGTCCGGAACTTTTCCTCTTCTTGCCTCCTCGTGGCCGGTTGTCTTCTGGCCGCGCGGCCATTGCTGTGTCCTCTTCTTGTCCTCCTGGCATTGTCCTCCTCCGCCGCACAATGCTGCTCTTGTCCCCCCCTTCGCTTTCTTTAGTCTTCTTGTTGTGCTTCTGTCCTCCTAGCGTCGCCTTCTTGTCCTCTTCTTGTCGTCCTGCCACTCGCAGTTTTTCTTCTCTTGGCTAACCCTGTGTCTTCCCCTTGTCCTTCTGACTCGTAGTGTCCCCTCCTCCCCTCATGGCGTCAGTTGCCCCACCGTTGTCCTCCATGGCCGCGCTGGCCAACCTCGTGTCCTCCTCTGGCGTCCTCTTTTGTGTTCTTGCGGCGCTTGCAATTGCT